ACACACACACACACACACACACACACACACACACACACACACACACACACACACACACACACACAAATCATCACAAACAGCATACATCCAGGCCCCACACGGTAAAGGCTGCACTACAAGAGGTGTGTGCAGCTGATCATTCAACAACACATAAATATGCATGCAGTCACACACACACACACACACACACACACACACACACACATTCAATGCATCACCTATCTGCCTGGCAGTGATTCATGCAAAATAAACATGCAACAACTTGCACAAAGCCAACATCAGTGCCAAAACCTTTATTTCCAACAGAGATACATGTTTCATGATGGTCAGTTTCCAGTTTTCCAAAACTGCATGGTCAGAAAACTTTACTTGATCAGGAGCCAAATAAACTGACCGGCTGCATTCAGCTTTCTCCAGTTGCTGTGGGTTTCATTAGAGATGTGCTGTTAGGGCTGGGGTTGAGGTTGGGATTTTGGAGTGGGTTTTGGATTTGGGTTAGGGTTGGGGGTGGGGTTGGGGTTGGGTTTGGGTGGTGTTGGGGCAGGGCCAGGGGCTGGAACAGGTGAAGGGGCAATAAAGCACCCTCTTTTGTGCCACTGCATGTCCCGCACACGTCGGACGGACTGGATCTGAGGTGCAGTGGCTCCCCAAGCGTTCCAGTGCTTGAAGTCTCCATGTTCAAAAASGTACTGGCGGCCTCTGTAGCCTGGATACATGTATCCCACCCACCTTTGAAGGGATGAGAATTAGTTTTAGAGCCATGCACACTACTACAAATGCGTTTAACAATTCTCCTTTAGGCTACAAGAAGACACATTTGTCTCAAAATGTACTGGAAGCTACTACAATATTTAAAACTGTGAAGGTGTGTCTTACGTTCCAGAGATAGCCTTAGCACTGGCCACACGGTCCTGGAAACCATGAGCCCACAGACTGGGAACATCATCGTCCACAATCTCCATRTTCCTCCCTTCAAAGCCTGCATTCTCAAACAGGTGCAACTTGTGATCTGCACTGTCCTAAAGAGATAAACATGTTTCCATATCAGTAACAACAGAAGTGTACAAGCTCCAGTGTGACACTTTCAGAAATGCCAAGTCTATATGCAGTGTCCTTCTGACCACTTTCAGAGGCCTGAAGGAGGTCAAGATGTAGCAACTCTGGCAGTTGGTCCATGTGCTCCAGCGAGGATACTCTCCTTTCTCGAGCACAAACTGCTCTCCGGCAAATCCTGGACGCTCAAATCCCACCCATCTGGCAATACACAGACATTTTATTCCAGATAAATGAACTAATTTGTTCAGATGAATAAAAAAAAAAACAGGAATGAGAATCACAAGGACGTGGAAGTCACTCACGGTCCTGACTCCACAATTACGGAGCCAACTCTTTGTATCTTCTCCAGCGCATCTTTGCATTCACCGGACAGCTCCACCTTTTTTCCACGAAAGTTCTCAAACTCAAATACGGCCAACTGCAAGACACGAGCAGGCGGAGGGGTTTGTTTTTTTTTTTTTAGTCCAGGTTTTGTATTGGTGCTTTTGTCAAATCAACACAAAACCACCTTCATGTCAAGTCTTGTACCTTATATGTGGCTCCAGCTCCCCCTTGGCCCTTCTCTGCAGGCAGCTGGTCTGGGCTTCCTTGCTGTTCTGTCATGTTTGATCTAAAAACACAGCAATTAACGGAAAAATGTAGAAAACGTACCTTTGAGTTCCATATCTACTGTAAAGTTTGAACACAGTGTAACTTATGGATTATAGAAGTTGACAAAATTACACACAAACATACAGTATTATTAGTTCAAAACACAGGCCTTTAAAAGTTAAAAAATACAAAGTGCATTATTCTGATCTTTTTGTTTACCTGAAAGTCTTGTGCTTTCCTGCACCCCAAACACGCCAAGTCTCCGTCCTTCTGTCTCGTCACTGTGGGGTTTTGTGTTTAACCTGTCTCAGTGTGAGGGTGTGTGGTTGTGGAGGCCTGGCGAGCGGCTGGTGCATGCCGGTGGGGGTATTTATGGTTTATTTCTGGCCACAGCAGCAAAAAGCCTGTTGATGCAGCAAGTCTGTCGCACCCATTGTGTCCGTCACACTGCTTCTCAATAGGTTTGCCCTCTGTCCCTGGCACACTGGCAAGCACTGTGCAGCTCTGCCCATGCTGCCATCCTGGTCATGATCCGGCTGGGCACAAGCACTGACTGCCAGCCAAGAGAATGGACAGGGATCAATCTCACTCAGCACTATTTGACCCACCCAGCTATCTTCTTCTCTGACTCAGTTTTTTTTWAAAAATACTTTCCCCTTTATGTCTTTGACAAAAATGTTTTATTTGAATTTGTGACATCACATTTTATCATGTATACAGATTGTGTTTAATTTGACCTAGTGCAAATCTAAATCGATTTATTACTAAAATATTAGAAAACATAGTGACTGTGGAGCTTTATAATCATCTAGACTAAACATTAGCTACATCAATATGGATTTTGCCCACTCCAGAAACATCTCTGGCTGCTGGTTTTCAGTGGTATCACCAACAAATCACTTTGTTTACCTTAAACCTCTGGCTGCATTTTACACACCCTCAACATTTCCAGTCTCAGCCCTCCTCAGTTACAGGTGGTGTTCTCCAGGGCTCAGTCATTGGGACCCTGGTTTTTAGATTTTAAAAAGTTTCTTTTCACAGGAAATAAAAAGTTCAATGTCATTAAATGGACAATCACAGCTGCCTGTCTGCTAAGCCTTCGTCCCTCTTGCTTGTCAGACACTTTAGAAAAGATCAAGAACTTGTTTGCCCCCCGTTTCCTCAAACTCAACAGTGATAAAACATAATTTCTTCTTTTTGACTCCCAACTCCACCTTCTTAAAATGTCAGTATCCTTTAATCCACTTTTCCCCTCTTGTTTGGAGTCTAGGTGGTGTCTAGATGGGGCCTTCCTTTGTAAAACTTATCAGTCCTCTTACTTGTTCAGCTTACTCTCCTCTACCCACTTTTATCTTCTTAAATTGCTCAAAGCCATGTTCATCCAGGCCCTTGTCATTTCACSTATTGAATAATTTAGTTTTCTTCTCTCTTGTCATCCACACTAATCAATTCATGAACTTTAATTGGAACTCCCATCTATTGAACAGATTACTTTGATTCTCAAACAGCTCCACTGGCTTCCTGTCTAGCATTCACTTCCAAATCTCTCCATGTCACCGAAAGGCTCAAGCTTTATACTCCAAACTCACCAATCTTCTTCACCCCAGCTCTCTAATCTGCCAAGCTATCCACAATGAACTAGACGAGCCAGCCATTTGTTATGATTGGTTACCCCATGTAAAGAACACACTTCAGCTTCATTTCATAGAAAAAGTTTTAATAAAATTCCCTCCATTTCCATTAAACAAACAGCATGATGATCTTAAATGATCACGTAATCCATGGCATTTGTTTTTTCAGCATTAAAAAGGCACATAAAAGAATTTTGAACTGGGTAATGCACTTTCCAAGTTTTAGAAACAAACACACACTTATACACACACATTTCCTGAAGTCTCATCTTAACATTAATGTTGTAACAAGCTACTGGGTATGTTAATAAAACTACTTTTATCCAAGTCTGACAAAGCTGTAACAACAACAACAAAAAATCCCTTGACCGAGTTAATAAATTATGTACAGTATGTATCATATTTAGCTCAGTTGTACTGAACAGGTTAAATCTTGTCATAGTTTTTGTTAAAGTGCTTGAAGCGTTCTTTGTTTTTGGAAACATAGTATAAAAAATAACTAAACACACATTAGGTATATCCCTTCTGTTCCATGGTTTTTACAGCTTGTAATAGATCCTCACTAAACTGGAAAGCCTTGTAAAAAACAAAACAAGAGCTAAAAGTGAGGCTCAAAGTACCGTAGATAATTTAGGCTAGGATTGGGATGTTTAGCTGTGAAAGTTAAAGTTGGAATTAAAGAAAAAGAAATGCTAAAAATGATATTAACTCTGACAACTACATAAAGGCAAACATGCATAAAGATTTTAGTGTCATCAGTCTTTTTCTGATGGCCTTACACATTCAAACAGTAACAGCAGATGGCTTTTCTTTAAAGCACACTCAGTGTTTTACCCTCCAGACCACATTTTATAAAACATCTTCTTGGCATTAAAATCATTACAGTGACTGCACATAGCCTTGGCACCATTTTTTTCATTGACAAAGATATAAAAAGTCCTTATTGCCTCCATGTCCAGGAAAAGATTCCGTTCTTCTACACAAAGTCTAAGGAAAGGTAAAAAAAAAAAAAATTCAAAATAAGGCACTGACAGTGCGGGATGGAGCAGCCATGGTGAAGCTGAGACGAGCTGACTGAGGAGCGACGGCACATCGTCTCCTAAAGGAAGCAGAAGATGCAATCAGATCAAATGTAAGATTTTTTTGATATGTTCATGTGTAGCACAGCAGTGCAGTGGTTAGAGCTGTCGCCTCTCAGCAAGCAGGTTGTAGGATCCCCTTCTGGCCTGGCGTCTTTCTGAGTAGAGTTTACATACAGTGTATTCTCTCTGTGCACTCCAGTTTTGTCTCAGACTAAAAACATGCATGTTAGATTAATTGTTACRGTAACTCTAAAGTGTCACCATGTGTAGGTAAAAGTTCAAGGGGGTTTAAATAAAATGGATGGATGTTCATTTGACAGTACAAAATGCTACCATTGATGTAGGGTTGGTCACACTATCCCAATCAGACACTCATGTGAGCCCAATGGTCGAAGGCAGTGCAGAGCAACTAATGCTAACCTAGGCTAAATTCCACAGCTAATCATGATAAACTGTTTTGCCAGTATTGCCTTACCCTACATTGATGTACTGATTTATTTGTGTACGTGTATCTATATTTTTCATATAAACTAAAAAAAATACCTGAAAGTACTGAAGCTGAGTGACGAGTATTTATAAGCTGTGATGTAATGGTGCAGTTTTGATCAAAACAAGATAAAAAGTTGCTGAGATAATATCATACTTTCTGTTTACAAGTTTGTTATCAAGCACTCTCCAGTGTTACAATAAGTATTCAGCTGTTGCAGTAAAGCTTACAAGATTTTTTATGTTGTTTCTAATAATAGCGTCTCCTCTAATGTAAACAATACATGATATCTGTTTATCTTTAAGAATCCACAGGCAGCAAAACTAATCTGTCATTGACAAACATGATTAAGAAATAATGAGTATCTTATAACAGGAAAATATTTTACTTGTTAAAAATACTATAAATCAATAGTTGTGTTCGAACAACTGAATGTGTAGAGTGGAAAGAAAAGCTGAGCAGATGCTCAACTAGCTGCTCTCATAAAAAATCTGCATCTTAAGACACATTAATTTTGTGTTTTTCTTATCAAAGACAGCATCTACATAATAATTGGCCATGTAACTAAACATATCTTTTTTGTAAAAGAAACAGAATTACTTACTTGCGTCTGGCTAAGTTTTACCACCATGCTGAGTCATACGCTTCTTGGATTTCAGCTCTTTCAGCCACGCTGGAGAAGAGGAGGCACTGATGGACACACACAGAGAAGATGCTCTATTTAATCTCTCCAAACACATCTGCAGGAGTTAACATTTTTACAATGCTTTAATAGTTTTATAAAACTGTCTGAGCGTACCCTCCGTCCTTGCTGCCTATGGGTGGCAGAACCCGTGTAGCTCCTGCAAGAGCGGACAAGCGAGGTGATTGCGAGAGCTGGGAGGGAGACGGCGCTACTTCTTCATTTGGATTTTCTGTCTCTTCTGCTCTTTTGTTCTTTTTTTTCTCCTCTTCTGCTACAGGTCCTCCTCCACCTTTTTTCTTCTTCAGCTCAGCCTGTTAAACCAGGTTGAATCAGTTCATTGTATTTGTTATATTTATGTGAAAAAGCTGTGCTTGAGCAGGGCGAAACTTACAAGTAGGGATGCAGGGCTCATACCAGGAAACACAGAAACTTTCTGGGTGGGGGGAACGGGAGAAACAGCAACCTTTGGTTTAGGCTGGTCCTCCTCAGAATCGGACTCCTTCTGTGCCTCTTTTTCAGCTGAAAAAGTTAGAACATCAGCGAAAACATGCAGAAAATCAACACTCTGAGACAGAGAATGTCTCTGTTTTTTAGATGAAAAAAAATCATGTATTGTTGTAAACCTGTGGGGTGGTAGACGCTCCAGCTTGGTTCGTCTGTCTGACCTGCCCCTATGCGGAACGAGCGTGATGGACGCGATCGAGTTCGCCTCCTACTCAGCTGCGCTTTAGATCTCTGTGAGCTGGTGTCGAGGAGAGGAGTGGAGATCTGTTGTGGAGGCACAGAAAAATAATTAACACAAAAACTCATTCACATGAACATATACTGGATTTTTCCAGAAATAGTCGCAAAGTAAACTACATTCACAAAATAAGACTCCAATAAGAATTTATAAGAGGTAAAGATTCAGAAACAACGTCACAAACCTCAGGGAATGCAGTAAAATCTGCCTCTTTGTGAGAATCAGTGGCATCAACATCATTAAAGGGGACATCTGGGATGGGCTGTGGACTGGAAAAAAAAAGACGTTATTTAACATGGGGTGTGAAACGGAAAGGACAAATATGACAACTAAAAACAGTCTTAGTTCATATTTCTTGTATTGTGTTTGATTAACCACAAGGGGGCACATTGATGTCAACTCTTGAGAATACTTGACAGCACAGTTTAGTGTCCAGGTTCACATCATTATGGTACTTTAAGACAAAAAGAGCAATAAAAAACAACCCAAAAGCCATTTTAGTCACACTGCATGCATCGCTGATCTCACTAAACCTGACCTTCCTGCTTGCTCCTCCGGGATATTTTCTTTAAGCCCTTAATTTCAGGTGTACTTTTTCTGGTATGTTCAGTTGGAACTGGATGAGTGGGTAAACTTTCAGCACAACACAAGAGGTTCATACCAAATCTTGTCAAGACCTATCTTTATTCGTTAAAATAGTAAAAAAAAAAATTGAAGTCACCAAGAGTTACTCCAAATAAGCAAGGTTTTATTTGTCCTAATATAACTTGTTTCTTACCTCTCCGTTTCAGATGTTTTCTCACAGATGTCATCCTGCTGGTGTGATTCCTCTTCCGACAAAGCATCTGTGAGTTTTTCCTCATCGCTTATGATGTAACTGTTAACCTGCGCCTGCAAGAAGAGCATAAATTAAATGGAGAAAAGTTTTTTAAATATATGCCAGAAGCAATTTTACATATTTTTACTAAAAGATGGAGAATAGCTTTCTAATTCAACCTAAGCGTGTTTGTAACCACTCTGCTGGTACTTTCTAGAAAACATTTTAACTTTGCTCTGCAAGCCATGATGTTAGGACTTTAAATTGTGGAGCTGAGTCAGGAGGGGTGGTGGTGGTGGTGGTGGGTG